CCAGATGACAATTAAAGAGCAGAGGGATGGTACTGGACAGTGTCCTGAGGCCATGCTGAGAGTCAGAGGTGGGATGGTGAGCAGGAGCTCGAGGCAGAGGGTGTCTTTGTGGCTGGCACTATCTGCCCTCCAAGACACCCCACCTCAGCTGGCCAATGGGCAATTCAGGCTCTTAATCTTGACCACCTAGGCTGTAGTTTTACAGCTGGAGACAGGCCAGAGAGCAGCAAATGCCAGCTGAGCAAGAGAGGCAATCGCTGCCTGCACTGGCTGGGTGGAGGATGTGGCACAGACTGGAAGCAGCAGCACTCACTGCCCTGGTTCCCCAGTGCCCATGAGGCCACAGATAATGCTGCAGAGCCGCAGCTGGGGCTCAGTCCACAAGCACCAACCCCAACACTCCATGATGGCAGAGCCTTGGATGTTGCTGGGCAGGAGCAAGGCCTGGCTCCAGCTACCAAAACACTCAAAGCTCAGCACTGGTCTGTGTGACATGGCCAAACCCCAGTCATGCTGCACCCCATAGTATCTGCACAGACCAGTTCCAGTTATCACCTCCTGGACCTCCAACTGCTGTGCAGCCACAGCCTTGGAAAAGCCAACCTGCAGCCAAGAAGAATTGCAAGGGAGAGAGACTGGTGGAGGAGAGAAGAAGGACACAGCACAATCCCCCATCTCTAACATTGCCTGTACCCACTGCTTGGAGCTACAGCCACCCCTCTGGACAGGGCTGCGATCACTTCCTACATTACAAGCAAGGAAAGCAGGTCAAGAGCATCCTTTAAGAGCTTGGGAATGCACAGAGTGTCATTCACCCCAGTTTGCGTGGCTGAAGGCAGACTGTGGAGAAGGTTTCTCTATGAGCAAGAATGACTTAGCCAGCTGCTGCTCCGGGGACAACAAGCTACCCCAACTGCCCTTCCACAGGGACAAAATCCTCTGTGGTGCTGGGTCTGCTCCCATTCCCTTGGGCGGAGGACATGGTGAAGCTAAGGTAACAGAGTCCAGCCAAGCCAAGAAGCAAGGAAAGCCCTCTGAGCATCCCCCCACAACACAGGCTTGGGATGGTGCCCTTGCCCACTGCTGATGATCCAAGTGACCTCCTTGTATCCCTGCCCCCGTGGTTTGGAGGTTGGGCTGTACCAGCAGGAGAAAGGGCTTCAGAGGTTTTCTTTCCACTGGGCTCTCCACAACCTGCAGACATGAGGCTGCCTGTAGCCACTGCTCAGGTATGTACACCAGCGTGTCCCCCAGGGCAGGCACGCAGCCTGGGGGACCTCTGCAGCCAGGGGGAACCCCCCTCCTCTATCCCCTGCCTTCTGCTTTCTACAGAAGATGCTGTTCCATAAGTAGCTCCCACTGTCCCAGCACTGCAGTCCCTTCTCCCACCCAAACGCTGCAGCCTCTGTCCCCAGAACCCCCAGATCTTACCTGCTGGCCGAGGGCTGCTGCTCTGTGGTGACTTGACCATCCCCAAGTGCCTCTGCTCCCCGGGCAGGCAGCTGGGTGTCTCGGTGACCAGGTCCTTTAAGCAACAAACGTGGAGACAGTCCTTAGCCCTTTCACCCCCCTAAATTCATCCCTGAGCTTCTGCACCCCTTAACCCCACAGAAGCCAGCCTAGCCCCCTCCCATCACATCCCCTTGCAAGGGGGAGCAAGGGCCACACTGCCCTGCAGAGCCAACAGAGCTGTGTGGGATGGGAGATACCAAAGTGGGCTCTTAATTAATTCAGGTGAGCCCTTAATTAGCAACAACTCGTGAAAGGTCCAGCTGGGGGAAATCAGGTGTGATTGGGGCACTCTGTGAGCAGTGACTGATGCACGGTCCTGCCCCTACATCGGGGGAAAGCCCTGACTCTCAGAGAGAGTCACGATGACGGCTCTCCAAGCGGGAGAAGGGGGTATCCCCAAGGGGCCACCCGGCCAGGTTGGGGTGTCCCCAACACCTGAACCTGGAACGCCCGGGGCTGGGGCAGCCCAAAGCGGAGCGGGGCAGCCTCCAGCACCCCCGGAGAGGGCATTCACAGAGGGCGCTGAGGATGCCGGTACCACCGGGGGTCCCGCTTGGGACAAGGTGTCACAGAGCGGGGCGTGGGGTACCCGAAGAGCGGGGCGGGGTGGACCGTGCCGCGCCCCCGCCCCCACGGCCGCTCGGGGGCCGCCCACCGGGGCTGGCACCGCCCCCCGCTCACCTGTGCGAGGGGAGCGGAGCGGGGAGGCACAGCCGCGGCCCCACCGCCACTCCGGCGGGACCTCCGGCGTCCCCGGTACCCGGTGGGACCCTCACCCCGATCCCCTCCGCCCTCCCGCGCCGCGCCGCGCCCGCCACCGTTTGAACGGCGCGAGGCGCCCGCCTCGCCCCCATTGGCCGCGCCGCCCGCCCGTCAAGCCGCTCCCCGCCTGCCCATTGGCCGCGCCCGCCGAGCGGGGCGGAGCGCAGGGGCCCGGCGCGGCGGTATAAAAGGCGGGGGCCGCGCGGGCGGGCGCTCAGTGCCCCGTGCGCGACAGGTACGGGCGGGCTCGGGGGGGGGCGGGGGGGGGGGGGGGGGGGGGGGGGGGGGGGGGGGGGGGGGGGGGGGGGGGGGGGGGGGGGGGGGGGGGGGGGGG